ACACCCACTGCCGGGGAGTTGATTCCGACTCACAGCGCCCCTAGAGGACAGAGTGGAACTGCACCACAGTTTCCAAGGTTGTCAATGTTTATGGAAGCCAGTTGCCACACCTTTCTCTCCCGAAGGGGCTGTTGGGTTTGAACCGGCGACCTCTTGGTTACCAGCTGAATGCCTTAATCACTGTGCCACCAGAGCTCATTTCTTTACATAGAAAGTGCCGAATGTTTGTTATCCTTGTAACTTATCTGGCCTTCCCGCCTCCGCGGTTCTGCCTGTGTCCCCCAGACCACATCCACCACCTCTGTGACAGCCGCCACGTGGCCGTCTTCCACCGCGGCCGGTTCTTCCGAGTTGGGACCCACTCCCGCAATGGCCTGCTTTCCCCGCGGGCCCTAGAGCAGCAGTTCCAGTGGATCCTGGAAGACCCCTCCCCCGCCCGCCCCCACGAGGAGCACCTGGCTGCCCTGACCACGGCGCCCAGGTGAGGGGCAGAGGGCAGCGGCTGCCAGAGGCCCGGGCGGCATCCAGGGTGGCGGCAGGGCAGGTGTGGGGCGGGGCTGCGACGAGGGCCAGGCTGGGCTCAGGCAGGTCCTCCGGCAGAGACACGTGGACCCAGCTACGGAGGTCCCTGGAGATGCGGGCTGCGGAGGCCCTGGGAGCTGTGGAAGGAGCCGCTTTCTTTGTGTCTCTGGACTCTGAGCCCGCAGGGCTCACCAAGGAGGACCCCACGGCTTCGCTGGATGCCTACGCGCACGCCCTGCTGGCCGGCCAGGGGTATGACCGGTGAGTTCCCCAGGGACTCGGACCCCACCTAGACCTACCACCTCTAGGACCTGCTTGGTATTCAGACTTTGGACCCCAGACCTAAAGACTCCACCCCTCAGGGGCCCAGACTCAGGTAAACCAGACTCCAGACTTGGGGGCTTCTTACCCCGGGAAGTTCTAGACCTGAGAGACCCCAGGCCCATAACTCGGACCTTGGACACCTCAGAATCAGAGACCTCAGACAGAAGACAGCTAAACTCTTGGCATCACACCTGGGACCTCCAGACCCGGGACCCCAGGTGTGAGGACCACCAAACCCCAGCTCTAGGACCCTCAGTCCCAGAGGATCCCTAGACTGGGACCCCAGAGCCATAACCCAGATCCAGGGACTTCAGATGTGAGGGTCACCAGACCCCCGATTTGAGCCCCCAGACCCTGGGAACTCCTAGTCCTGGGACTCAAGACACATGATGAAGACCTATTTCAAATGTAAGAACCACTGGATTAGGATCCCCCAACCCAGAGAATCCCTAGACCTGGAACTCCAGACCCTAGATCCCTGGACTCAGGACCCCAGACTCAGGACCCCAGACCACTGAGGCTCTAGACCTCAGTGCATGCACTTCCAGGCCCACACTCTTGACCCAAGCACCCCAAGCCCAGGCCGCCACCCCCACAGATCCTCCCATAACTTCCTCAATGTCCATCAGGCGCCCTCTGCTTTCCTTTGCTCCAGGGCAGCTCCCCCAACTTCCCAGCATCCTCCACAAACCCAAGGCCATCTTTAACCCCTTCCTTAGCATGTTCCTAGGAGCTCGGTAGCATAGTGCCTAAGGCACTTGACTGCTAACCAGAAGGGTGATGGTTCAAACCCACCACTCCTTGGAAGGAAGATGGGGGATGGGGTAATCTACTTCCGTAGTGGTACTGCCTCTGAAACCCAAGGAGGGGTCGCTATGAGTCAAGTCAAGTCAATGGCAGTGACTTTGGTTTGGGCTTTGCTTCCAGTGGGTGTGGTTTGGGCTTTGCTCCCATAAAGACTGACAGCCTTGGAGACCCTGTGGTGCAGTTCCACTGTGTCCTCTAGGGGCGCTGTGGGTCAGAATCCCCTCCAGGCACTGGGTTTGGTTTGGGCTTTGCTTCTGTGAAGGTAGGAGCTCTGATGGTGCAGTGCCTAAGGCATCTGACTGCTAACCAGAAGGCTGGCGGTTCAAACCCACCAGCCACTCCTCGGAAAGAAGGTTGGGCAATCTACTTCTGTAGAGATACTGTCGCTATGAGTCAAGTCCAACTCAATGGCACATAACAACAACAACAACAGCATGTTCCCAAATATCCCCAAATCCTGGACACATCTGAGACATTCCAGAGAACCTTCTTAGAGACCCCCAGACCCCCTACAGATGTTCATACCAGGACTTGAGCCCCGATTCCCAGACCTTGCTACCCTGAAACTACCTCCCCAGGTCCCCACTCCTTGGTGATTCCTCTGAACTCTCACCCACAGCTGGTTTGACAAGTCCTTCACCTTAACTGTCTTCTCCAATGGGAAGCTGGGCCTCAGTGTGGAGCACTCATGGGCCGACTGCCCCATCTCAGGACACATGTGGGAGGTAGGGGACCCCTCACTCCGATTCCCAAAGCCCTTCCTCTCCAGGACCCCAGGGTCAGAGGTGAACGCCTCAGAGAGAAAGATCAGCCCAGGGTCACTCAGCGAAGAAGGGGATCTGAGATGAGTACCTTCCTTTGATGACTGGGAAAATTGGGGCTCTCTTCGACTGGGAAAATTGGGGCTCCGAGAAGAGAAAGGATCTGCCAGGGCTCACCCTTACGTTCTTTGTTCTGTTAATAATATTTTACGGTGTTTGTGTTGAACGTTTACACAGTAAATGAGATTCCCATCTGACAATTTCTATAAAATTTATAGTTAACTAATGCACAAATGTTGACCATTGGTTACATTTTTCCTTGCAATAATACGCCCTTCAATTGCATTCTAATTGTTCTGTTACCCTTACCACTGTCTATGAGGAAAAATGCAAAGCTGCCAGATTTTGTTTTTCTTTTTTTCAATTGTGGTAAAAATACATAACCAAACATTTGTCATTTGAACCTTTTTTACATGGAGATTTCAGTGACATTAATTACAATTGTTACCTTGTGTAACCATTACCACTATCTCTATCCAAGTTTTTTCATCAACCTTAACAGAGACTTGGCGTCCCTGGGTGGCCAAAATGGTTAAGCACTTGACTACTAGCCAAAAAGTTGATGGTTTGAACCCACCCAGAGGTGTCTTGGAAGACAGACCTCAAGGTCTGCTTCTGAAAGGACACAGCCTTGCAAACCTGGATGGAGCAGTTCTACTCTTCCCACGGGCAGTTGCCGTGAGTCAGAAGCGGCTCCACGGCAACTAACGACAACAACAAAACCATCTGAAACCAAGTGCCCCATTGACAGTAACTCTTCCTTTTCTCCTCCTCCCGGCCCCTGGTAACTACTAAGACAGTGTTATCTCTAGGTCTAGACATTCATAAATGAGATCCAACCATCTTTGTCCTTCTGTGACTTACTTCATTTGATGAATTTAAGGTTCCTCCATGCTCTAACATGTATCAGAACTTCCACTTCTTCAAGGCTGCATAATATTCCATCGTAGGGAAGGACCACTTTTATTTTTCCATTCAAAAAGAAAATTTAGCCCAATGATTAAGAGTTCCCTCTGAAAGATGTTACCTGTAGGTTAATGCTGTATGACAGTTTTGACATCTGTGCTTTCTTTTCTTTTTTGTTTAATTTTCAATTTTTGTATTGTGATTTTGGATGAAAGTTTACAGAGCAAATCTGTTTTCCATTCAGCAGTTCATACACATTTTGTTTGATGACATTGATTGCAGTCCCCACAGTGTAACCTTTCTCTTCGCACTTCCTCTCTGTGTCCTTCCTTCTTATGCATTCCTGCCCTCTGGGCTATCTCCTTGTGCAAATACTGCCCTTCTGATCTCCCCTGATTGATTGGTCTAAGGAGTATACCACCTCCTTTGTGTAAATGTTCACCTTATATGCCTGTGTATGGTTTGGCTGGAAGCCACAGAAGTGAGTTCAATTCCAGGCTTGAAGGGTGAGAAGGTGGATAGCCCAGATTTTGTGTTTCCTACGTCAGCTGATGGATTTTTCGGTTGTTTCCACCTTTTGGCTATTTTGGCAATGAATGTTGGTGTACAAGTATCTGTGTACCTACCTTCAGATTTTGTGGGTATATTCCTAGGAATGAAACTGCTGGGCCATCATGTAATTCAATTTAACTTTTTTGAGGAACCACCACACTGTTTTCACAGTGGTTGCACCATTTTATGTTCTGACCAGCAATGACGAGCGTTCCAGTTTCTCTACATCCTCATCAACACTTGTTGCTTTCTTTTTTCTGATCATATGCATTCTAGTGTGAATGAAATGGCATCTCGTTGTGGTTTTGATTTGTATTTTTCTCCCAATATATTTTTAAATGGGGGGATATTAATGTCTTCTTCCTAAGGTTGTTTGAGAATTAAGTGGAAATGTGAACAGAAAGTGCTGGCCAGGAGTAGGTGCTCAATCGGGGTGGACTTAAAACACTGAACAGAAACAATGAACGTGGGTACCGCTCAATCAGAATGGACGCAGGTGCCCTGGAGGTCTGCTGGTTCTACCCCTTCAGTCCCAGAATCATGGGGTGGTTCCTGGCAGGGCTGGTGCAGCCGGGCGATGGGTCTTTATGTATCAGTCAGAAGGTCAGGGTCTTACTGCTGAGTAAGTAGGTACCACTTGAGTATGAGTCCTCCTCTCAAAGACTGTGGACCTGAAAACCTGCCTGTGGACACCAGAGTTTTCTGTTTCTTAGGAGCCCCTAAGAAACCCCCCTCTCCTAAAGGAAGTTAAGAAAAAAGGACCCTGGTTAGATATCCTGTGGTCCAGAGGTAGGAAGGACACTGACTGCCTCCATTTGCACACAGTTCACTCTGGCCACAGAATGCTTTCAGTTGGGCTACTCCGAGGATGGCCACTGCAAGGGACATCCTGACCCCACACTGCCCCATCCCCAGCGACTGTACTGGGACCTTCCAGATAAGGTGAGGGTAGGTCTTCAGGTCTCTCTTCCATGTCTCATAAATCCTAGCTTTGACTCCAAACTCATCCCTGTCCCCAGTCTTAACCTCAAAACTAGCCCCATTCCTAACACCAACCTCATCCCCAAACCTACACCCATTCCCAAGCTATCCCAACCCCAACCCCAGACCAACCTCATTCCAACCCTGATTTCATCCTCAACTCCAAACCTCACCCTGTTTCCACCTTCAACTCCATCCTCAATCTCATTTGCCAATCTATCTCCATGCCCAGTCTCAAACTCAACCCCAATTCCATCCCCATTCCAATTCATCTCCATCCCAAATCCCATCCCCAACACTACACCTAAACTCAGTCCCATCTGCAAACCCAACCCCATCCAGTCTTCAGTGGCAACTCAGTCTCCACGCCCAACCCCATTCCCAACTCAACTTCAACTGCAGACCAACCCCAATTCCATTCTGATTTGCCATCTGTATCACCATCCTCCTCTTTAACCCATTCCTCCTGTTCCATCCCCTTCTTCGTCACTGCCTCCGAATTCCACCCCAACTCTTAACTCCATCCCACTCTCCACTACCAGCCCTGTATCTAACTCTAACCTGACCCCATCCTTAATACTCAGCTATTCTGTGCTCCCTCCTTCTCTCACAGATCCAGCCAGCCATCTCTCTAGCCCTGAGGGGAGCCAAGACCTTGTCTGGAAACATCGACTGCCACGTCTTCCCCTTTTCCCACTTCGGCAAAAGCTTCATCAAATGCTGCCGTCTGTCTCCGGACAGCTTCATCCAGGTGGCCTTGCAGCTGGCCCACTTCCGGGTCAGTGCGTTTCCCCAGTCCCCTCTTAGGACCTTAAGCCCCTGAGACCTGTCTCCTCAGCTCTCTCACCAACATTCAATGTCGTCTCTTGGTTGCCATTGTGGGCCGCCATCTTGATTCTCTTTCCCAGCCACACATTCCTGGGTGGGAGGAGGCTGGGGCTCCAGACGGCGGTGGTTCACATCTGGGAAGACTTCCTGAGCCCCACTGACAGGTTTCTCTCCTCCTCGTCGCGCAGGACAGGGGTCAATTCTGCCTGACTTACGAGTCGGCCATGACTCGCTTGTTCTTGGAAGGCCGGACAGAGACGGTGCGGTCTTGTACGAGGGAGGCCTGCAACTTTGTGAGAGCCATGGAGAATGACGAGAAGACAGTGGGTGTGGGCCTCATTGGAGGCTTTGGTCATTTGGTCACCCATACATTTGCAAGTATTTAGGGAGCATGTACTAAGGGCCAGGCCCATGATGGGTACTAGGGACACATGGATGAACCTCAAGGGGCCTGCTAACGGGGAGGGAAAGATAGATGGTTGAGTAGAGCACAATAAGGGATTTAGTGAAGGTACCACGTTGTGGGAGTCCCAGGATGGGGGAAATGGTTAGAGCACTTTGCTGCTAATGGAAAGGTTGGAGGTTTGAGTCCACATGGGGGTACCTCAGAAGGCCTGGGGGTCTGCTTCCACAAGGTCAGCCATTGAAAACCCGATGGAGCACAGGCCTGCCCTGACACACAGACGGTTGCTGTGAGTCGGAATCGACTTGGTGGCAACTGGTTTCTATATGGCATGGGGCGGGCACTGAAGGAGGAGCCATTTCTAGTGATTTGACTAAGCCTCTATGTGACTTCCTTTTGCACTATTCCTCATGACCCCTAAAAGATCCCTGCTCAGCCCCCTCCAGGACCTGAATGCCGCCCCCCTCTACTCCCTCTCCCTGCTACCTATGAGGTATTGTGGGTCAATGGAAGAAGTTTGGGCTCTGGGCTCAGACAGGCCTGGCGACCCATCCCCAGTTGACTCACTGTGTGGCCCTGAGAAAGTTAACTCCCTTCTTTAGCCTCCCTTGCCCCTCTGTCCAATGGGATTAACATCCATTGCAGGGATGTTGCACGAGGCTGGGTTGAGGACAGGTGTGAGACAGTCCTCGGCAGCCCACTTCCTGTCCCTCCATGACCTGTGACTTCCCCGTGGATCCCAGGACACACAGTGCCTCGCCCTGTTCCGCGAGGCGGTCGAGAAGCACCAAGCCCTGCTGAAGGCGGCGATGAGCGGGCAGGGGGTCGACCGGCACCTCTTCGCACTGTACATCGTGTCCCGATTCCTCCGCTTGCAGTCACCGTTTCTGGCTCAGGTTGGGGTGTGCTGAAGGGTCAGAGTGGAAAAAGCGGAGAGTCACGGGAGAGAGAGGGACTTCCAGGAGAAGAGGGAGATGTTGGGAAAGGGAGGCGTCAGAAGAGGAGAGAGGGATAAAGGGAGCTCTGGTAGCATAGTGTCTAAGGCACTTGACTACTCACCAGATGGCTAGCGGTTCAAACCCATCAGCCACTCCTCGGAAGGAAGGTTGGGCAATCCTACTTCCGTAGTGATAAGTAGTGATAACTGCCTCCACTCGAGGGCACATAACAACAACAAGAGAAGGGAAGGAAAGGGGTGTGGCTAGAGGGAAGGGGCGTGGTCAAGGGGAGGGCGTGGTCGCGGGAGAGGGGCGTGGTCAGGGAGTAGAAGAGGCGAGGTGCAGAAGGGGACAGCTTCCGAAATTGCCCGTCAGGGGAGGAGGTTAGAAAGGGCACACGCTGCATGGTTGGCGTTGAGCCAAATGAGCGCAGCCCCCGCGGGTCCATTTTTCGCTCATACACATGGGACCTGATCTTGTCCCTCAGGTGCACTCGGAGCAGTGGCAGCTGGCCACCAGCCAGATCCCTATTCAGCAAAGGCACCTGTTTGACGTGCACAATTACCCCGACTATGTTTCCTCCGGGGGTGGCTTCGGGCCTGTGAGTGGAGCTGGGGGCCTGGATTCCTGGATCTGAGTGAAGGGGGGGCGGGACTCCGGGATCTGAGTGAAGGGGAGCAGGATCTGAGGGAGGTGGGGGCTCATGATCTGGACACCTGAGTCTTGACGTAAGCAGAGGGCAGAGCAGGGCTGGAGGCTTGGACTTCTGGGTCTGAGGGAGGAGGGGTCGGGGGCCGGGCTCCTCACTGGTGGTGTTGGGGGAGGCGGAGGGTTGTTTGTCCCCTTCACTCTTTCCCACTCCAGGCCAATGACCATGGTTATGGTGTGTCTTACATCTTCATGGGGGAGAACATCATCACCTTCCACATCTCCAGCAAAAAGTCAAGCACAAAAACGGTGAGATAAACTTGGCCATAACCTCCCACCCTTCTCCCTCAGACCCAGGAGGCTTGTTTCCCAGCCCTCAGGGGTCCCTTCCAGCTTCCCCGGACCTGATAATGTCTTCCTCTAGGACTCCCACCGGCTAGGACAGCACATTAAGGATGCACTGTTGGACGTGGCCTCCCTGTTCCAGGCCGGGCAGGGTCTTGGCTGCAGGCGCAGAGGGTTAGGGACGGACTCCGGGCACAAGAGTGGGTCCCTCTCCAACCAGACTCAGAGCTCCAGGCACCCCCAACATCTGACTTCTGACCCCTTCCCCCAGGGAGCTGGTCTCCCTGAGGAACCAGAGTGAGGATCTGTGGCTGGGTGGCACAGGGTGGCGGCGGCCTGCTGGGAACCCCCACATCTGGGCCAAATAAAGACGTGTGAGCTGGGTGTGTGATGTTGGCTATGATCTTGGGCTGGGTGTGGGTGGGAGAGGTGAGGATTCGGGAGAGGAGGGAAATTTTCGTCCACCTTCAGCCCCAACTATGTTACCAGTTATAATCAATCACAGGCTCACTCAGAACTCCCCAATACCTGCCCAGTTTACTCCATTCCCAACTCCCATCAAACCAAACTCAGCTATCCAAGGCCAATCCCAAGCCAACAACTCCACAAGCTCTCACGATCCCAGTTCCTCCCAATTGTCCATCCCCAGCCCCATCTCTAAATCTAAAGATCCAACACCAAGCCAGCCACCCCAACTGACACCCCCCAAAATGAATCCATTGGGATTCTTACTCCTCAACCCCAAGCCCAGCCATTTCAACCTCCACCTCAATGATGAATGAAGCTCTCATGACCACCATAACCACATCCGTGACTCCACCAACCAACAACTCCATGACCCTACACCCCATTACACGGAACTTAACCTCAATTAGAACCATACAATGAACACAAAAAACAACCCCAAACACCACCTCCCACCGAACCACCCACCCCTTCTCTACCATGTTATTTACCGTCAAGTTGATTTTTGACTCGTGGTGGTGGTGTTATTTGCCATTGAGTCAGATTCAACTCATAGTGACCCTCCTTGGGTTTCCCAGGTGGTATGACTACAGAAGTATATTGCCCAACCTTCCTTCTGAGGAGTGGCTGCTGGGTTTGAACCGCCAGCCTTCTGGTTAGCAGTCAAGTGCCTTAGGCAGTGCACCACCAGAGCTCCTACCTTCACAGAAGCAAAGCCCAAACCAAACCCAGTGCCTGGAGGGGATTCTGACCCACAGCGCCCCTAGAGGACAGAGTGGAACTGCACCACAGGGTCTCCAAGGCTGTCAGTCTTTATGGGAGCAAAGCCCAAACCACACCCACTGGAAGCAAAGCCCAAACCAAAGTCACTGCCATTGACTTGACTCATAGCGACCCCTCCTTGGGTTTCCAAGGCAGTATCACTACGGAAGTATATTGCCCAACCTTCCTTCTGAGGAGTGGCTGGTGGGTTTGAACCGCCAGCCTTCTGGTTAGCAGTCACGTGCCTTAGGCACTGTGCCACCAGCGCTCCCATAGTAACCGGTAATCTTTACTGGGGCAGATTGCCAGTTCTCTCTCCCATAGAGTCTCTGGCTGGGTTTGAACCACCAACCTTGTGGTTAGTAGCTGAGCGCTTAACTGTTGCACAACCAGGGCTTCTTATCTCCATCATAACCCAAACTTTAAGTTGACCCATACTCATTACCTTTAGGCACCACACTCCTCGCCACACCCCTGCTGTACCCCCACTACTACTGTAACGCCCACCAGCTCAACAACAGAAATACATACCAACAGCAAGACCACACCAGAATCCCAATCGTTGGACCCACCAATACTATGATTCCAAAACTCCATGACTCCCACCCTCATTACTTCCACCAAGTCAAGTGTAATAACACCAATCCAACAATGAAAATTAAAAAAAAAAAAAAAAATCCTAACCGGATCTATGTAGGAGATCTGGGATAGAGAGGGAGAACAATGTGGAACAAAACTCAAAAATCATTTGGAGAAAAAAGAAGTGGCGGGGGGGGGACCAGGTTTGCTGGTCTGATGGAGCCTGGTGGAACCACTGAGACTATGGCCCCTAGCTGCCCTTCAGGTCTGGAATTGAACCCACACCTGTGGCTTCCAGCCAAACAAAAGAGAGGCATATGAGTTGAACATGTACCTGAGGTAGATACATACACTCCTTGGAGAGAACAATCATGGGAGAAAGAAGGGCTGCTTATGCACAGGGAGAGAGCTCAGGGGGCAGGGGTGCATGGAGGGACGGACACAGGGAAGAGGTGACTGTCGGAAGGAAGTGGAAGGGGAGCTGTTGCATTGTGGGAAATTGGGGTCAATGTCATTAGAGAAAGTGTATGTGAACTGCTGTATGGAAAGTGAATTTGCTCTGTAAATTTTCACCCAAATCCCACACACACACACAAAATCCTAACCACATCAACCTCAGGCATGGCAGAGGTGCCCTCTAACTTCATGGGGGGAAGAAAGAAACACCCTCAGAATCAGCCCAGGCTGATTCCTATGAGACAGAGGTCAGACATACCTTCATCCTCCAACCTTGTGACCAATTCTGACACCAGCCCTTCCTCCCACAGTACTTCCTATTTCTCTGCTGAATTCAATAATTCATCGCAATGGCCATACAACTCACAGACCATACTCGCAGTTACGCCTTTTATTTGGGAAGTAACAGGTTATAATTCAGGATCAGGAAAGACTCAGGATACAGCTCATCGGGCAGGACAGCCTCTTCTCAGCCAGGCCCATGGCCCCTGGCCTCTCACGCCCCCTGCCGGCTTGACCAAATGTTACAGAGCCCTTTCAGCCCTGCCGTAAGTGCTCAGAGGCACCCTATTCCACCAGCCAGCCTTGGCCTAAAAGCTCTCAGCTCTCCGCTCTGTGGGCAGGAAGCCCACGCATCACCCCCTGCCACGTTCCTGGTCATGCTGCCACCATTTCTCTGCTGTTGCTTCTTGCCATCTCCCGTGTTACAGCTCTGTCACCTGGGTCTGGGAGGGCCCAAAAGACACTGTGCTCCTCGCTCTTCTTTCCTGGTAGTGGTCAGGGCCCTCCTGTCTGCCTCTGGGACGTCTCATAGCCTAGCGCGTGGCAAAACAGACCAATTTCCTCCTTAGGGTTGCTTACACTTTATTTGAACAGTCCCAACCCCACAAGAGTGTCATGCACCTTATTTGCATTGACAACAGGCTGCCCAATCCCCTTGGTGGGCCTTAAGCACCTTATTTGCATATTCCTACAACTCAATGGCACATAACAATAACAACAACAAAACAATCTTTTGATGAGAGTTACAAGATCATGGCTAGAAAGGCCATATAAAAGTGATCCTTATACTACATAAAACATTGTTCCACCTCCTACTTTGGTGAGTAGCAACTGGGATCTTAAAAGCTAGCAAGCAGCCATCTAGATGCAACGATGGGTCTCTCCTCGTCCAGAGCAAAGAAGAATGAAGAAAACCAAAGACACATGGAAACAATCAGTTCAAGTGACTGGTACACCATGCGATCCTCAGTCTACGTGACTATGAGACCAGAAGAACTAGATGGTACCCGGCTACCGCTGTCAAGCACTGGGAGGGGATCTATGTAGGAGATCCTGGATAGAGAGGGAGAACAATGTGGAACAAAACTCAAAATCATTTGGGGACAAAAAAAGGGGGGGGGAACACCAAGTTTGTGGTCTGATAGAGCCTTGTGGAACCCCTGAGACCATGGCCCCTAGCTGCCCTGCAGGTCTGGAATTGAACCCACTCCCGTGGCTTCCAGCCAAACAAAAGACAGGCATATGAGCTGAACTTTTACGTTAGGTAGACACACTCCTTGGAGAGATCAATCATGGGAGAATAGAAGGGCTGTGTGTGCACAGGGGGCAGGAGTGCTTGGGAGAGAAGGATGCAGAGAAGAGGTAACTATGGGGTGGAAGTGGGAAGAAAGCTGTTGCATTGTGGGAAATTGCAGTCAATGTCATGAAACAAAACATGTATGAACTGTTGTCTGGAAAATGAATTTGCTCTGTACATTTTCACCCAAATCACAATAAAAATTAAAAAATAAAATAAAAAGTGACCCTTCACGTTGCCATTAGTTTCCAAGAGCCCCCACAATAAAACATCACACACTGGGTGGCTTATAAGAACAGAAATTCATTGTCTCACAGTTCTGAAGATTAAAAGTCCGACATCAGAGCGTCACCATGTTGATTCCTTCTGAGGGCTCAGAGGGAACCTCTCTGCCATGCCTTTCTCCTAGCTTCTGGTGATGGTCACTGATCCTCGGTGTTCTCCAACTCTCCTCCATCCTCACGCGGCCCCTCTTCCCTCCGTCTCTGTGTCTCATCTTTGATGAGGACGATCACTCACATTGTATCAGGAGACACTGTACTTCAATAGAAGGAACCCTCATGGTGCAGTGGTTCAAACTCACCCAGAGGCGCCACACAAGAAAGACTTGGCAATGTCATCTCGCAAATGTTACAGCCAAGAAAGAGCCCTAGGAACCCTAGTGGACGGTTCTACTCTGTCATACGGGGTGACTATGGGTTGGAATTGACTCAATGACACCCAAGAACAACTACAGGTTCACTATGACCTCATGTGAGCGAATAACGTCCTTAAAGAACCTATATCCAAATGAAGTTACATCCATAAGGACAGGGGTTAGGATCTCAACACAGTCATGAATCACATAATTTCCACTCACGCAACGTCTGACCACATAGACATCTGTGGTCCCACAAGGTTGAGTTCAGAAATCCTGATCAGAGAGTGAGACGCAGCAGACATAACCAGACACAGTGAACATAACAGCTTCCCACACACAACACGTGTATCTCCTGTCTCTCGTATACAAAGCAGTCCTGTTCCCAGGCATATAAAAAAGCACAGTACATACATAACCTGTAACACACGTCTTGAGAGACATAATAAACACCTCTGCTGCTGGCTCACGTATGTACTGAACTTTCTATCATTATTTAATATGAACTTTCCCTGTTTGCAAATAGTTTACCGTAATACGTTTGACTCACAGGAAGCAGCATCCGGTCTTTTGTATCGTACATCTCTTCAGTGTTGTCGTGTTACCTCTCTGTTGACTTTTCTTTCAAAAATATTACTGAGAAGTGCATCATAGCCGCCAAACGCAGCAAACCAGAGCTAGTGATGCCAGCAAGAGGCAAAGGAGAAGGATCCATTTGGAAGGGAAACAAAAGTTGTTCAGTAACATGACGGGGGAAATCAATGAGCGCTATTGCTTGTGATGAAGACATGTCTGTTTGCTATGGATGTGCATCTACCTATTTACATGATTAATAAGCACTGAGGTGCATAGTCCCACGCAGCCATCTGGTGGGAATCACAAAGACTATGACCAGAACCAGACCAAGTCATTCACTGCACCACAAGGACAGAGTGGAACAGCCCCCATGGGGTTTGCAAGGCTGTCGATCTTTACCAAAACAAAGCCCAAGCCAAACTCACTGCCCTCCAGTGGATTCTGACCCACAGCGCCCCTAGAGGACAGAGTGGAACTGCACCCACAGGGTCTCCAAGGCTGTCAATCTTCACAGAAGCAAAGCCCAAACCAAACCCACTGCTGTGGAGTCAATTCTGAGTCACAGCGCCCCTAGAGGACAGAGTGGAACTGCACCCACAGGGTCTCCAAGGCTGTCAATCTTCACAGAAGCAAAGCCCAAACCAAACCCACTGCTGTGGAGTCAATTCTGAGTCACAGCGCCCCTAGAGGACAGAGTGGAACTGCACCACAAGGCTTCCAAGGCTGTCAGTCCTGAACCTAATCTTAGACCTTCAACATACATTCACATATTCTTTGACACACACACACACCCAGTGTGCTCTGGAAGTAGGGATGCATTTGTAATGCATATCATAAGGGAGAATAAATGATACCGAGGCAGTATCTCTACGGAAGTTGATTGCCCAGTCTTCCTTCCGAGGAGTGGCTAGTGGGTTTGAACTTTAGGGACTAAAGTCTCTCTCTTTCCAATGTTTATTAAACATTCAACATTTTATAACTAGGTCATAATAAGTAGTATGGCCTCTTGCTTGAAATCTCTTAAATTAGTTGCTCTGGGGGAATCCAGCTACCATGTCACAATCAACCTTAGGGAGAGTCCATATTCCCCATACGAAGAGGAGCTGAGATCTCCCGCCAATAGAAAATGGGGAAATGAGGCCACCCAGCCAAGAGCCATGGGAGTGAATGGTCTTGGACCTGCATCCTCCAGCCCCTTCCAATCCTTCAGATGAGATCACAGCCCCAGCCGACATCGTGGCTGCAGCCTTATGAGGATCCTGGACCAGAACCATACACTTAAAGACACTTCCAGATTCCCAACCCTCAGAAATTGTGTGACATATATGTGTTTGATGCCCTAAGGTGCTATGTCATGGGGTAATATTTTATGCACCAATTTTCTAGGAAATTTGCAAATTTATTTAGCAAATTTGCAAATACCTAGCAAAAATCACCCTCACAAATATTTGCTTGACTTGTGCTCCAAGTTTCCATTGATAACAGAGTGCCCCATGCTTAGGCCCTACCAGGACCAAGAAAACAATCACTATAAACACCTGCAGAGGCATCCAACCTGGCCTGATCTCACACTTGTTTTATCAGCTCACTAAAATTCATTGTGCTCTACAATTCCAGTTACTAGCATTATTTTACAGATGAAGAACCCAAGACGAAGAGAAATTAGATAGCTTGCCTATGGTCATTTAGCTAGCAAGTGGTGGTAGCTAGGATTTGAACCCAGGACTCTGATGCCAGTCTATAGATTTACCCACCATTCTATACTACTTCCCAGCTGCCTTTGTGCTTGCTGTGGAAACCACAGGACACGCCAAGGCCTCTAGGACCTAGCCTCTGTGTGTTCCACATGCTCCCAGGGGTATAAACAGCACCCCCTCTGTTCTGGTTCCCTAGTGCCGCTCTGACAGGAATATACCACGAATGGGATGGCTTAAAGAAACAGGAGTTTATTCTCTTATAGGTTGGAAGATTTAAGTCTGAGTTCAAAGTGCCAGGCTCTAGGGGCTGGGTGGAAGCCCCTCAACCTTGGGGTCCAGCTCTGCCTCCAGCTCCCAGCCCACTGGAGCTAGAGGTGTTTCTTCACTCAGCTACTGGCTGCTAAGACTGACAAAGACAAGGATGACAAGTAAAAAGGCACAGTCCCGATATTACCAAACCACACGGTAGGCCATTAATTCAAGTCCATTGAAAGTCCCAAGGTCAGCAGAACATGGCAGGCTACTGAGCAATGACACGGCTACATGCAGGGTCCAAGCGTGCCATAGGCTAGAGACCATTCCCAAAGCTTCTCCTTATATACGGGAAGCAGACCACATCCCAAAGCAGCTACCCAGCTCCTTGTGGTAGATCCTACCATGGAGTTGACTGACAGTCTCATCATGGGGAATAACTACCACCAGCTGCCCAGCCACTCAACCAGGCCTAGCCAAGTTGATACACAAACTTAACCACCACATACGTATACACATACATACATATGTATATACACATACATATATACATATACATATATATATATACATATACATATATATATATACAACCAGAAGGCTGGCAGTTCAAACCCACCAGCCACTCCTCGGAAGGTTGGGCAATCCTACTTCCATAGCGATACTGCCTCGGAAACCCAAGGAGGAGTTGCTATGAGTCGGGGCCGACTCGACGGCACATAACAACAACAACATAATATATATATATATATATATATATACTGGCTTGACAGGCCCAAACTGCACCACAGAACCTCATGTCTACCCCTACCTTCCTTGCAAAGTACTGTATCACTAGTACCTCTCTGGAAACCAGAACAACCTATTGTTTTTAGGTGCTGATGAGTCAGTTTCCATTCATGGTGGCCCCCTGTGACAGAGAAATGCCCATAGCACTCTCTAGACCATAATCTACAGGAGCAGTTCACCAGGTCTTTCTTCCAGAGCCACTAGGTAGATTGGAACCGCCGACCTTTTGGTTAGCAGCCAAGCTCTTACTTAACCTTTGTGCCATGGGGCTCCTTGGCACCATTAGCTGAGGTTGAAGGGGATGTGCACACAGAATGGCACAAGTCAAGTCACTTGCTGGCCCTCATTTGGTGCCAAGAAGGAAACAGGGTTCATGCCAGCACGAGGGACCATTTATTGTTCAGGGGCTGAGCCCCCACGTTTTGGGGGAGCTCTCCCACTACTTCCTCCCATTGTTCCTGTGGACCCCTCAAGTGGCAGATTGCTGAGCTGATCATGGAGGGAGCACATCTTCAAGTGTAGATAATCCAGGGTGGCCACCTTCTCCCTGGAATGACAGGAAGTTGTGCTGTGAGGCTCAGTGTCCAGGCATCGGACCGGAAGGAAGGGGTGACCCAGGCCCTTCCCGAAGACCTCACCCTCCTCCCATTGCCCTCATTCTCCTTCCTCACTCCGGCTTCATCTTGTCTGTCAGCAGCAGGTTCTTGGCCCGCAGTGCTTCCTCTTGGGCCAGCCGAAGGGTGGAGCTCAGGGCCTCTGCCCTGACATGCTTGGCCAAGGCCTGGCGCTCCAGCTCCTGGGGAGAGGAGTGTAGGCGCGGCTGGGCTTGCCAGACTGGGCTGGGGGGGAGGGGGAGCTGGATCGCCGAGGGCAGGGGGCAGGGTCCCATGGGGCCCACTTCCTCCCCCAAGTGTTTGGTTCCATCATGCCTCGAGCCTGAAATTGACCCCCGCATCCCACAATGCCCTGGTCTTCCACGTCCCATCATGCCTCGAGCCTGAAATTGAGCTTCACATCCCACAATGCCCTGGTCTTCACGTCCCATCATGCCTCAAGCCTGAGTACAATCCCTACATCCTCAATGCACTGGTTCTCTATGTCCCATCATGCACTAAATCTGTGTTCATCATATTGTCCCCTAATGCAAAATGTACCAGGACCCATGAACCATCGTGGATTCAATACATGTCTGTGCCCCAGTATCCCAACATGTGGTGACCTTCCATCATTCAACAAACTGTACACGGACTTATGGATGAACCTAGCATCTCTGTCATGATTAAGTCTTCAGTGCTCTGTTCCTGTGTGTCCCACAATGCCCTGCCATGTCCTCTCATACATCTGTCCTGCAGCTATGCTACATAAAGTCCCATGTTGTTGTTGTTGTTGTTGTTGTTATGTGCCGTTGAGTAGGACCCAACTCATGACAACCCCTCCTTGGGTTTCCAAGGAGGTCTCACTACAGATGTAGATTGCCCAACCTTTCTTCCAAGGAGTGCCTGGTGGGTTTGAACCTCCAGCCTTCTGGTTAGCAGTCAAGTACCTTAGGCATTATGCCACCAGAGCTCCTATAAAGTCCCAGACAACAGCATTTCTCTCGCACACCCACTACAACCTATATCCCATCATACATTAGGCCAATATCCCATAATGCACATGCTCTATGTCTCATAGTGCACCATGCCTCAAGTACCATCAGCACTTGGGCTTGAGTCTGTGGTCCAAAGTCCCATGAAGGACTGGGGTTCCATTTCCTGTAATGCATTAGGTTACTGACCTATTTTTACTGGGCTCCATATTTAACCGTCAATATCTCACAATGCGTTACCTCTCTTACAAAGAATCAGACTCATGCTCTAGGATGCTTTGAAAGCTACTGTCTCCTGTGTCCCACAGTACACTAGATTTGATTTTCCCACCATGCTCTGGGCTTGAGTCTATCACCCAAGGTTCTATAATGACCAGCCTATAACTGGCTACCCAACTGCTTGTCCCACAATGCATTAGAGGCAAGTCCTGCCCCCAGTGATGGCTGTCCACAAGTCAGTCTTTCCCCTCCTGCTACACACTGGCAGGACGCTCGCTCCCTGGGCTCCCCTTTCTCTGCTACCCTACAGAAAAGCAAAATGGGGCATGGTGGCCCATGGTCCCTGGTACCAGAATCTTCTTGTGTAGCCTCTGGCAACTGGGGCAGGCAGGAGCCACGCCCCTCTGCTTCACCTCGTCCACTAGTGGGGTCAGGGATCGCTCCAGCAGCTGCTGTAGGGACTCCGTGGACAGCTGCTGCCCCTGGCTGGGGAAAGGGTGGTCACCAATTGAAAGAGGCCCAGAAGTGACTCAATTCCCAGGAAACCCCATGCTAACTCGCCCAGGCTCCACCCAGCCCCCATTTACACTGTGCACTCCATATACAATCTTCCCACAATGCATCAGTTTCCTTTGGTTCCCACCACATGGGGAATTCCCACAATGTCCTGGAGATCCCCGCTTCCAAAGGCAAAGGGCACCTGACAGCCCCTGGCTCCCAAAGGCTATCAAAAAGCCCCATTTTCTATTAAACCTGATCCCAGGTTGTACTGGGGACTCCTCCTTTTTCTACAATGGACCAAGCATTGTAATCCTTGGCTCCCACTGCACTGAGAAATTCCCCCCATGTTCCACGCTCTAACCGTCCCACAATGCACTGAAACTACATGATGCTCTAAATGCATCAAGTGCTTCCTGACTGAGACACTGACTCCACCTTGTAGGGAGGGAGCGGGACTATTCATGGGGATTCCCTGTATCCCAAGATGAACCCCTTCTCCATTGGTGAGGTAGAATGCACCCGGAGCCAGGCCCAGCCTCCGTACCTGGCACAGCGAGCACAGGAGCCTTGGGGGGACCGATCCAGGTTCATAGAGAGGTCGGACCCTCTTCGAGAGTTCTGAAATTGCCTCCCCAGCTCCTCCAGAATGGGTTTCACCGGGCCCAGCCCCTCCAGTTCGCTCCTCAATGAAGCCACAGACACTGCGGACCGCTCCACCCTGAGGTGTGAAAGCACCAAGCCCCCACCCACTGTTAGAGCAATACTATTCTTCACCTAGTTCGCAACTCTCTTCCTGCCCCCAACTCCGCTTCTGAGTGGGCCCACCATCCCCACGTTCCGTATTTTAATGTCTAGAATGCCCTGTTCTCTAATTGGCCCTCCGCTTTCCAGCTTGGCTCCGCCCTCTATCCTTTTAAGGTAGTAAACACACCCCTTCTCTAATTTTCCCCGCCCCTCTATCCTTATTAGGGATGGGCGCCCTCTCATTGGCCCTTCTGTCTGTCAGTACTGCTTGGCCCCATTTTGGTTGGTCCGCCTTGCCCCTTGGCGGTCCTCCCACATCCCCGCCCCTCGCCTCCCCTCCTTACAAAGTGCACAGCTCGTCAGCTCGACCCCGTAGCTCCTGCAGGCCCCGTGCTGTCTGAGCCTGTTCACGCTGCGCCCGCTCCCACTGGCCCAGGAAGCCGTCCAGCCTGCCGCCCAGGCCGCCAAGCAGCCGCAGGGCTTCCTGCACGGCCCCCTCCTCCTGATGCCACCGGGCGGTCAGCGAGGACACATCCCTCCTGTATGAGGAGAGGGAGAGAACAGTTCAGTGTGGTTTGGGCACGCCTCCATTGGTCCCACCCCGCCTAGACCACGCCTATGGTACGAACTCAATGCTTGGGAGCGCTGGTGGCGTAGTGCCTAAGGCATTTGACTGCTAACCAGAAGGCTAGCTGTTCAAACCCACCAGCCACTCCTAGGAAGGAAGACTGGGCAATCGACTTCCGTAGAGATACTGCCTCGGAAACCCACGGAGGGGTCACTGTGAATTGGAATCAACTCCACGGCAGTCCCCACTTCTAAAACTCTACCTATGTCTCCAAACTCAGCCTCTCCCCAAACCCCACCCCAGCTGCTCCAGGTACCATATCCCCAAGGCGCCACTCACCCCAACCCCATCTCACTCAGCTCCACGCACAGGACCTGCCCTCTCCCAAGCCCTGCCCACCTCAGTTTCACCAGCCTCAGACCTCACTCCAGCCAGGCCTGTATTACAAAATTCAGTTCTTCGAAGTCCTGCCCTTCCAGGGCACCTTCCCCGGGACATTCCCTCTAAGGTTCTTCAAAGCTCCACCCTCTGGGTCCCGCACCCACTGTGCCCCTCAAGGCTCCACCTTCTGAACCATAAGAAGCACTTGACTGCTAACCAGAAGGCTGGCGGTTCAAACCCACCAGCCACTCCTCAGAAGGAAGGTTGGGCAATCCTAC